ACTAGCTGAAGTTCCACCAGCTGCGATCTGGAAGGATCCAACTATTGATTCAGGATGAGCAAACTATAGCTGTAGTGTCCGTGGTCAGCTTAGTAAGAAAGCTCCCCGATTCATACCTCCTCTTCTCTCTATAAGAACTCGAGTTGCGGTTGTCGTCCATCCTGATCTCAACGTGCGCTCGGTCACTACGTCAATTTTCGGTGACTGACATTTGGATCATCGCCCAATCCTGGAGGAAGGTGCTACCGGTTCAATTTCTGTGGGAGCATGTCCGACCCATCTGCGGACGTAACTGGATCCACTCCCAATGAAACAGAGACATAAATATCAGCCCTTGTTCCAACCACATCAAGAGGCCTGATGTCTGTCCCACCACACCCAATTTTCCAGCCGAGGTCCGTGCCTGATACCGCTTGTGAGGATCTCAGGCAGCACCTCCCGTGCACCTCGGATGTTCTTACCCAAGTTTCTGGGGAATATATTGCGGTAGGCGTGCACGGCAAATCTTGAACCGGAAACTGCTAAGTCTCATACTCTGATGGTCCTAGAGCTTCGATCAGCCGGCCCCTGTGCCAGAGCTTGCGGCCGATAACCCATACTCTGTGATGCCACAGCCGGTTAAATCTTTTCCCACTCCGCCTCATCGAGAAGACGCGGCGTACCAACTGGCTGAATACTAATGTCTGTAGATCTGTGATGGAACCCAGGCCCACGCAAACTCGTTGATCCCGGCAAAGGGCGCCGACGAGGACCAGACTCCGGCGGTCGAATCGCGCCGTAGCCACGACAAGGAACGATCACGACGACCACGCAGCGATAAGCAGGCAAGATCTAGACCTGCCATGTCCGCTGAGTGCACTGATCGACGGCATGCAGCACATCCCGGTTAGAGACATGCACGCCTGGGTACACCGTCCCGTCGAGAGGCGCCGCCAGGAGGCACTGCAACGGGATGGCAGGATCCCACGCCCGATGAACTAATTCTCACTCTATCGGTTGGCGTATAGTGATCGAGCGAAGCGCTGGCTTGCCCAGAGGGATCATCAAGCCATCTCCATCCTCGCTGGACGAAGCTGGAAGCTGGAAGTCCCCCACATCCGGGAGAAGTGCTGGCGGTGATGGAGAAACGGAACCATGCTAGAGCGCACCCGGGATATTGGTACTCGCCGTCAAACAAGAAGAAACGATCGCGAACCGCAAGAGCCCGTTCTCAGGGATTGGCAGTGCTTTCAATGCCGTCCTCCATACCCGGTCAGAGTTCGCAGACTAACGCTTGGTCTACCTCGTTGGATAGTGACCGCACCAGTGAACATTCAACAGGATCTCTTCATGCAGAAGAGGGGACCTTCATCAAGCGCAACGTATTGCATTCAAATGGCTTTAGCCCGCTGCAAAGTGCCGCCTCGGTTTGGTGGCAGTGAACGTCTTATCCCCAGCCAGCCACTTCCGAGCGCGGTCCTAATGGCACCCAGCCTCAATTCCCTATCGGAAAATTAGGGGTATATGAATCTGCTTGCTTTCTTCCTCAGCCTGCAGTCCCTTGACCCGAAGCTGTCCACAGTCGGTCCTCTGCAGTGCTACTGTCCGTTCCGTATGAGATATGTAACGGTTACGGGGAATGGTCTATGGACGAGAAGCTCCTGGCTGCGACTGCAGGCCAGTAAATAGCACATATGGATTTTGCGGCACATTCATAACATATAAATTGGGTATTCATGTTGATAGCCTCAGGTGGGAGGACCGCATGTATAGTTATTTTCGTTATCTCGTATAGTGCGTGTAGAAGTGAGAGGCCAGTGTTTATGTAATGAGCAATGACTCCCTGAGCGGGAGGGTGTGAGACCATGTGAACGTCTAAGGCAATAGCACCTCATTCCCCTGCGGAAGACTGGTTCACAGCGACCACGTGGGAAGGCGTAGCCCAGGGTTCGTAAGAGCAACAGATGCCCCCCGGAAGACAGTCCCAGCTCCCAGGAACTGTTTGTGTGCTCCTGGGAGTCAGCATGTTGCCATTGAGAGCAGCGCCGCTCCCCTGATTCTTGCCGCTCGTCACAGGAACAGGAAACCGTTTCCTGCCTTTTTGAGCATACGGAGATCACCTTGGCTGCTACCGAGCAGACTGTACAGCAGACTGACTGGGGAGGAACAAGATCTGCACCTAATTCAGGATGAGGGTGTATTGGCATGCCTAGCATTCTCCATGCGTGATTCTATCATACTATATCGCTGCTGCGTGATTTGAGTCAGTCCTCAGACCAGGGCTATATAAAGTAGGTGACAGGCCACTCATTGCGAACAGAGAAAATCCCAGACCAGGGTCTTCGGGGTGTGTGCTAGTCTTCTCACAAGCCATAACGTTTTTTGCATCTGTGCACTGATCTACCAAGCCATTTTTCACTCATGGACGAGCAGCGGCCACTGCCTTCGCTGGAGGAGTTACATACTCAGGTGTCAAAAGACGCATTGGGGAACAATGAACGGCTTGGTGCAGTTGCGACTGCAGCTGCGACCGCAGCGGAAGCCTTTGTCTCGGTTGCGGCCCCGGTCCGTCAGCAGCGAGACGACACCAATGCCACCGAGCCTGTCGTGGAGCACCGAACGTCTTTAAACGTGCCTACTGAGGTATTTTCATAATATACTCTCTTCTACTACATTGCAACAGCCACTGTCTGCTGATCGAGCATTAGTTGATGAAGGATAGCAGCGCTTCTTAGACCATTCCTGTTGGAGGTGTTATCGTTTGAAGATAAACGTGCGCAAAATCCAAGAATTGATACCATGATGGAATGTCGGTGGACAGTGTCTTGGACTAACACTGCGTATTAGTGTTCTCGCATCTGGCCCTGTGAAAGGTGCCATGAAAGCGGAACCGACTGCGTTCCCTATGTTCTGCCGTTTCGATATTACTCGAACACATTTCGTACTAAGGTAGTATGTTCCACCGTCCTCAATATGAAGTGTAACTGCCATCGTTTGCTGAGTGAGAATTAGCTGATGGAAGGATAACAGCACAGAGTGGATCGAGCTTGTGAGAGGTGTCATCGTCGAAAAGTTAAGGTGCGCAGAATCACCAGGAACTGGAAGAGTATGATGAGAAATCGGTGAAAAGCGCGTATGACTAACGTAACGGGCTATTAGTGTTCTCGCATCTGGCCCTGCGAAGCGTGCCAGAGAAGCGGAAGTACTTGCGTTCCTCAGTCAGATCGAGAGAGCGTGAACCATCGTACTAGGATGTCTATCGAACCACGCGCGGAGAAGTCGCCAGTCAGCAGGGTTTATCCATACCAGCCTCCCAGTGACACCTCAAGAACGTATGAGGCTCACGCCAGCGCATCCATGGAGGAACACCGATGGAGCGTGTCCGATATGGGCTGCGCTTCAGATGTCGCCATCCTAAGAGACAGTGGTGCTGAATGTGGCTCAACCATTACGTGCCCTGCAGACGTCACTGCTCGTGGGGAAAGGTATGAGGTTATCGATGATGGGAGCAGCACTCTCCCATCCGAAACTGGCGTAAATGCAGGCTGGGGACCCCCGCTTAGCGCAATCGCACTCCCGAACTCGTATATGCCCGCAGACAACTCGACAGGGGACCCTACGGCAGATGCATGGTACTCGATGCCGTGGGCTACGGAGCCATACTCGTGGGGGGCGTTGCCCGCATCTTTCTGGGGCTGGACCTGGTCTCAAGCCGACAATCTGACCGCGTCCGAGACCGACGGTTCTTTACATCCGTCTATTCCTGCACCGCAGGCGGCAGGGTGGCCCTTTGGAGGCGAGGCTGAACAGCCTCAGCATCTGACTAGAAGCGGGATCATGCCCTTCTGGGGAGACGACTCCCAAGGGCTGTGCCATCCAAGTCCCTCCTTTGATCCACCGGAGTCTATTGCCTCGTCCGTCGCAGCCGGGTTGTCTTCTATACCAGAGACTGGGCCACCGAGTTTCCCAAATTTTTTTCGTATACATCAGGCCGAAGATGTCAGCTGGTCACTCCCAACTGAGGTCCCAATGCAATTGCCTTCTTTGGATTCGTTGGCGCCTGTTTCCACAGCATTGCCCATGACAGACTTCTACCGCCGCAGCATGCATCAGGAACCACCTGCGCCCGTCCCTGTGCGGAACATCGAGTCGCTAGTACCCCCATGGCTACAGACAATGATAAATTGCCATGTAACTGCAGCCAGCCCGCTCGATAATGTCGGTGCCAATAGCCAGGAGTCATCGTGTAATGTCACGGTGCCGGAAGACCAGGTCGAGCATCGTCACTCGACCTAGGCGAATGACTTCAACAACGTTCGCAAAAGATAGGAACCGTTTATGTAGTAGAGAGGCAGGACTTTGCATGTCTGACAGTGTTTGGAATTATGTTATAATATTGCGATAGCGGTGGTGCTCTTCTGTACTACCATCTACATACCGTGCCCAGGATCATACTGTACTGTCGGCTACTGTTTCAAGTCAACGAATAGGACAGCAGTGAATGACTCGCAGAAGTTTGCTTGATATTTACCTGCTGTAACAGAAAATCACCCCTTGGAATATCCAGGACGTGCAACCCTTGCAGAAGGACATACTCACAAAGACGTTCGATTTTCTACACTATACCTCCGCAGTTATATGCTGCAGGCGCCAGATCCGAAACAATCCCAAATAATCCTGTACGACGCACTGAGAGCATTAAGAATTTAAAGCAATATTGGCTCTCAGGCGGAAGATATGGCAG